AGCTTTGTCTGACAGGCTGCGTACAGAGACAAAGTCAGCTGCATGATTGTGCTGTTCAGCCTGATGTCCTGACACCCCCCCCCCCCCTCCCCAGAAAACCACACGGGCGTGATGCTCAATGGCAAGGACGACGACCACGACACGGAGCTGGAGCTCAGCAAGCGCATCAGTCAGCTGACCACCAGCGGCGAGAGCTTAGAGATGACGCCCAGGGCCGGCGAGAAGATCGAGGAGGCGCTGTCCCCCGAGAGCTCCCCGTCCAAGTCGCCTAACAAGAAGAAGAAGAAGTTCCGCACCCCCTCCTTCCTCAAGAAGAGCAAAAAGAAGGAGAAGGGAGAGGCCTAGGCTCCAGGCCCTGGGGGGGGGCCGTGTTTGCGACCCACCCTGTTAAAAATGACGCTGCACATTTTGGGGAAAGGAAAAGAAAAAATAGTGTGAAAGTGGTGACTTGAGTTTAACAAATCTCTATCTAGGGGGTGCTTTATTATTCCCCTCCCCCTCCAGGAAGGGGGAGAGGGTGTGTGGGGGGGGGGGGGGTTATAAATTTGTGAGCCAAACAAAGTGGGAAGCTTCCTTAAAAAAAACTGGCTCTTGTCGTTCCCATCTCCTCTGCCAAGCACTGAACGCAGGATTCGAGCGCAAGCCTTGCAGATGCATCCTAGACGGGCCGGGCTGCGGCCGCAGGCGCTGCAGCTCGACACGCGTCAGTCGCAATTAAACTGCACAACCGAGGTTGTTCATAGCTTTCACCCTGGAAACTCTGCCCTTGTATTACCAGCTTTGGTTTATTCTGATTATTATTGCTATTGTTGTTTAGGACCCGCCTCCATTCATGTCATAAATCCCCCGGTCCGTAGCGGATCGCAGCTGGACAGCTAGCGGAGGCTGATGCCACACTGGAAACTGTTAGTACGAGATCGCGAGGCGTTCCCCGTGAGCGGCTCGCCAGCCATTAGTCCCCCCCCCAGGCTGACTTTCGGCCAGTCGCCCTCTGGGGGAGTAGCCGTTCATTCTGCACTGACTGTTTTTAACCCGTGTAGCGTTCAAGCTGTTTTTCTCCTCTTTTTTTATTTTATTTTAAGTTTCGTTCTTGCCAAATGGAAAAACACACAAAAAAAATCACGTTTTAGTGACTCTCAATCTTGACGTTTTTTTCTGGTTTTTTTTTTCTTCTTGTTTTTTCCTCAAACGACTCAATTTTTATTTTTATTTTTTTTTACTTTTTAGAAACCGAAAGCCTGGTGGTAGCTCCTGTTTTATACGCATTCTATAATTTTTTCAGAGAATAGAATTCAAATAGGAAGCATGTTATGAATTTATACCGCTGACAATTTGATAATGCCTGTTTCTATAGGATTATATTAAAGGCATTATAGGTCAGATTACTAAAACTATATAAAGGAGATTATATAAATATATATTATATATAAAAAACTAAAAAGTGGTTATAGATTTTTTTAATTATATATTTTTTATTTTACTTTGCTGCACTTTTGTGGTATATAGCGAACTGTAGATGCAGAAGTTTCACCAAATGAAGGAGAACGAGAAGAGAAAGGGGATGTTTGTGACAGGCAGGTGCAGGGCGTGCTATACATTAGGTTTTGGTAAGTGCGTTAATGACAAGTAATGGATACTTTTGTGCATTACAGCAAAATGTCATTTGTGTTTGAGTTTGTTTCAAAAATGAAAATACCCCACCCCCTTTCTCCCCCCCCAGATAAAGCACAAATGGCAGCAGTTTGGTCTTATGCAATTTGGTTTTTAAGGTCCACCATTTTGACCTTTTAGGCTCCAAGGTCATTGACAGGCATGGCGGATACACACCCGATCAACGCGACACTCCGGTGGGTTAAGCCCCGCCCCCTTTCCACCCATAGGCTTGCACAGGTGTCAATCACTGCGTGGTGTCAGTATCGCTTTGTCTGACCGCTTCCAATTGAAGTTCTTCAGAAAGTTAATATTTTTTTCAGCTTCTAATGATCGGTCCTATTCGGTCTCCCCTCAGTCATCTGCAGATTTTTTTTTCCCCCTCTGGAGCATGTCCAGACGGGGGAGGGGGGGCGGTTCACCTCGAGAGGCCGAAGTTGAGCTGTCTGTCATTCTGCAGAGCTACCACAGCTTAATATCCCAGCCAGCAATGTGAATTGTTTGCGTTTGACATGAAGAGCAGGGGGGGCTTCTTTTAAGCTGTGTAAATAGCATGTTGCTTTGGCTGGGTCTGGGTCTGGACACAGAGATGGATGAAAGCTGAACGAGGCGGTACCTTCACGTAGGCGGCAGACGTTGGCATTTACTCTGTAGGAGAGGGTCTCTCCAACAAACACCAATACATTCTAACTTGTAGATTTTCATAGGCTACTGTTTTCTGTTCAAATGTACCTTTTACCATTTGTATTACAATATGTTCTAAAATTTAGTTTTACCAGAATACTAAAGCATTTATTAACCATTTAAGAGCGCGAACTACTCCCAGACGAATGGCTTGGCTTTGATTTTTTTTCTTGACGTTTCGCACCTTGTTTGCTTTTTCCGTCTTTTCTTTGATTTTTCTTTCTCCTCAGATCGCTTCGGCATGCGAGTTTGAGCCAAGCTTACCTGTGACCTGTGGAAACTATGTAAATGGATATGTCATGGAGTTGCTTTTAGATGTATTGCTAATCAGTGTAAATTCACAAATAAAGTGTATTTTAAGAAGCTCGTGGTAAATTGTATGATTTTTTGGCGGAGCAGCGCACGTATGGGCGCCTTTTTACCTGCTAAACTCAAGTTTCCATTCGGCTTATTTTGGTGATCGACTACGACACCAATCAAAGGTTACTGAAACCGCGCCGGTTATGTTATTACTGTTGCTCTGTCGCTGGCAGCAGCGGTTTAGCAGCTCAGTCGAGCATAAATTAATCGTGAGGGCGGCGGGGCGGAGCGCCCCCCCAAGCAAGGCGAGTGTGGCGGCTGGGGGCTAATCGGCGTCCCGGCTTGTAAAAGTACAAATAACAGCGTGACAAACATATCACTGCATATTTAATAGGCTTACGTTGCATGTTATGTATTCATCTCCGTGTTTAACATTATGTGATTGTAACTGGATTCAAAATATTAGCGTTTGTTTGGTTTATATTAAGTTCATATTAAATTACGTTTAAGTTTTACATAGATGCAATGCTGCCGCAGACACCTGTTTCACACATTTGTGCACACTGCTGTATATCGCGCAGTCCCTGGTTCATTGCACCTTATTCGGTTTCTGTTTGTGGCCCTTTCGGCATGTGCAGGGTGGCTCTCACGTACACTCAGGCTTTCAGCATGAAATCTTACGGCAAACCTATATTATTCCATTATAAACCTAAAAAAAAGCGTTTGTGTAGTTTGCAAACCCTACAGGCCATTTCCAATGTAATAAAACTGTTACGTACACGAAAATGCGTGTGCAGACTTGTCTCGAATTGAAAGTCTCGCTCCATTTAGCTCACCAAAGTTGGCAGCCCTGACAGTTTATCATGCCGATTTATCTGAGCTGTCAGATGACGCTGAATACTAGCGCAACTCTGCAGCGATCGCGTCCTCAGACCAAAAGCGGCACTTTAAAAAAATCAGTCGGCTTTTAACGCTGGGATGCTGCACATTCACGACGCTTCCTGTGGATGTCGCGTTTACGCCGCTGCGGACGAGGCTTCCAGTCTCTACGTCGCTCCCTGAAGGCAGACTGCCGCCTTGAGACTGAGCAGGAGGACGGTGCTCACTTCCGCAAAGGAGGTCTGTGCTCCGGCTGCTCCGCTTCCTCCTCCATTCGCTGCACGCGGGGGTGGGGGGAGCCTGCGCTGGGTCAGCTGTCACGTCTGACCTGCTGTTCGTTTGTCGGGGGCATCTTATCCAAACGGTGCATTTCTTATTAGTATTAATTAATGCTCCCCAATTGTTTTGTTTTACAAAAGGAAATGAAGAAGATGGGGGTAGCTTGGAAACAGATCTTCACCTGCTAAGACATATGAAATATGCAAGACGGATTGTATTGCTAGTATCATGGAGTCATCAATATTTTCAATTTGGATTCGACCACGTCGACCACGACAGTTCGCATTCACAATGATACACCACAACCGACGTCTTAGTTTAAATCCGAAATTAAGTGTAATAGTCACTTCGAATTAAAGGAATCGGAAATTTATCAAAAATGAATGTGGCGTGAAAGTGTTGCACTGCAAAAGTGAAGTTTCTTTGTTTGCCTTTTGTACGTCGGTACACAGGAAACCCTACTCACACCACCCAGGCAGTAACATGTAACAATTACGCAGCACAAAACATCCTGCAAGTATACATGTAACTGCAGAAGTACAAATAGATATATATAGGCCTATAATTAAAATCTGTCTTGCTTTTAGCCGAGATCAGGTATTTATAATCACAGACGCGTTTAGCTGTTTAACAATCGAGGATGTTCAGCCTGTGCTGTAATGTTCAATAGATTATTGTAAGAAGTTGCCGAATCACAGAAATACATGGGGGCCACAGCGAGCAGTTCTGGGCTGGGGAGGGGGGGAACACATCCTTCTGCTCTCCAGACGGCCTCTTGCTGTGAGTGTCAAAACAATGAGCCGGCTCCAATGCAGATGGGCAGGACGGCGCCCCTACAGGCGCATGTCGTTACTGCATGCGTCCTACTCCAAAAAAAAGGTGAGCGTCTTTTTGAGAAGGCTTTTATTTTGATAAGTGAAATAATCATTAATGACATTTGCCAGGAGAATCCGAGTCTCAGATGTCTGTCCCACTTTAGGCAACTTGAAAAGGCAGCAAATGGAAAAGACGAAACTGGCGGAACTCTGTTTTTTATGATATAAAGACGCCAGGTCCTGACCCCTGCGTTTCCATGGTAGCCTTATGCGAACGGAGCAGAGCAGGAATCTCCCCGGTTACAAAGAGTGGAGAAACTGGAGTGACGGCTTTGATCCCCTGCAGCGGTGCCTCGGCGAGAGCAGAACTGAGCAGAGCTGCTGCATGCCTTTGTAAGTACTGCAAACTCACTGATATGGACCGGCTCAGCACACCCAAGTGGCACTGGAGCACTGCTGCGGTGGATTGCCGGCGTGCCCGTCTTAACTGATTCCAGTGTAAACCCCCCCCGGAGCATTCGTCCTTCAGCTGGATTCATCCAAGGGAAATGGAGTACCCCACATCCCCCTGTTTCCAGGAGGAGGGGGGGGGGATTGAAGGAGCAAGGAGTGGGGGAGGGCAGGGGGCCGGAGGAGCAGATGGCATGCCTGAGTAACCGTGCTTCAGTCTGCCCCCCCCACCGTCAGCCTATCATGGTAGGACGCAACAATTGAGTTTAGACAATGGCGGCAGTGGTGGTGGTGGGGGGNGGGGGGGGGTATGTGTGCACTTATTTGAAAGGGAGTGAGACGGAGGGGGAGGGAGGCTGCTTGCTGCTTAAAGGTCACAGGGGTCACGTTTGGTAACAAGCAGTCGTAGGGAGGCTGGCCGATTGACGTACATGAGGAAACACAATGACTTCATGGAGGCAGCCAGCAGTGCAGCAGAATCCAAATAAACATGGTGGCTGGTGGGGGGGGTGCATTTCCCGAGAGGGGTTTGTAAGTTGTGGCGGCTGAGCTGTGAAGAGTCTCCCAGCTGGAGGGGACAGTGTAAGGGGGTAGAAGACCTGCGGCAGGTTCACAGGAATCGGGAATGTCTTCGTGTGTGAAGGTGGACACCCCTCTCTCGCCGTGCGGACACCCCTCTCTCGCCGTGCGGTCACCCCTCTCTCGCCGTGCGGACACCCCTCTATCGCCGTGCGGTCACCCCTCTCTCGCCGTGCAGCTTGCAGTAGGAACGAGCCTTAATTGAAACGTCACACTGCTAACATGTTCTTGTGTTATGCTTCTCGTCCAAAGGAGCTTCCAGTTTCACGCAGCTGAGTGTTTCAACTGTAGTTATTTGGGTCGAGTTGCTCTCTCACACGTGCTGCGCCCCCCCCCCCCCCCCGTGCCATGAAGTGGAAAACCTTCAGGTTCAATGCATTCGTCCATGTCCCCTACAAAGCCTTTTTTTTTTTTAGCATTTTTATGGCTGGAATCGGATTAAACGTTATTCTCCGTGTGCACGGCAGCCTAGAGGGAATCGGTTTTGGCTCTCGGAGCCGCACTCGGCTCTGCCTGGCTGCTAACCTGATGAATGAAGTAACTCTATAGCGTCAGCGTGTGTCCGCAGCATCACCCTGACAGGCGACACGTCCTGAAAGGCCAGTGGACCTTCCAACTGGCAGCGGCTTCACAATGGGCCGACGCACCATGGAAACCGGATGATTATTGCATGCCATACCCCCCCCCCCCGGACTGCAGCACACAGGCCGCCTCGCATCGTTTACATGTGACCACATAACCTCATTATGAACGTCTCCCGATCCTGGCCTATAGGCTGCCCTTCTGGCCTCCTCCCCCCTCTACTGAAGGGCGTCCTTCCTCCCCTGCCCTTTGAGAAGGTGTCCCAAAATGAGCTCTCGCTGTGGTGGGTGGGGGGGGACTTGCTCTCTCACGCGCATCCGTTACAAGCCCTGAACATCCAACCCCACACTCCACCCACTGGAACGGCCACATCTGCAGGGAGGGCGGCCATCTGCGGCCTTTGTCTGCCCCAGCGACCCCCACGTGAAGCGGGGCTCCACTCTCCGTCTGTGGCTCTTCCTTTTTCTGGCGCGAGAAAATGACTTATTAGGTGGTCGAAGGGCTGCTAGGGTCCAGCGTCAGACGCAAATAAATCCCACTGTGATTCAGCTCCGTGCTCCACTCCACTCCCCGCTGCAGCTGCAGTATGAAATATAAACCTTCCCCCTGAAAGTCTCCACCCCACCTCATGCAACAATGTGACTCTGTCTGAAGTGGGGGGGGGGGAGGTTCTTCGAAATCAGACCACACAAATAGTTCCCTTTTTTCAGATTTGATTTCCCAAGCCCCTGAGACAGTAACTGGCTTTTTTTCCCTCATCTTACACTGATGCTCGGCCGTGGCTTATGAAGACCGCTAATGGTGTCTTCTTGGTTAGCGCTGTTAGCATTACAGGGCCTGAACTCCCGTGTCTGAACCACCCCCTTGATTTTAATTTCTAGAGCGAGCCCAGACTGGCGGGGGGGGGGGAGATGCACCTGGAATGAGGGCCGTTTGGGTGTAAAGCAGAACGTTCTGCACGTAGGACCACGCTGTGTGTGTCTCCTGCTGTTAAGTCGCACATCCAGGGAGAGTACTCAGTGGCACAGATGTTAACCACCCCCCACACCTTCTGATTGGCAGCTCGAGCTGTCCATCACTGTTAGGGGCGGGGTGAGGGTGGGACAGGCCTTTGAGGGCCAGTTGAACTTGGAGACCGGCTTCTCGGTCAGGAGCGGCCCTAATTCTCTCCCCCCAACTCCCCCCCCCCCCCCCCCCCCCCCCCCCAGGGAACACCTCTGCCTTCTCTCATCCCGCCTGTAGGCTTCCTACAAAAACTGCAGTGATGTGACACAATAACCTTCCCCCAGCCCCTATGAACCTCCGGAACTGCCTCCAATTCACGTTGACGTGATGTGGTGCATTGCATTATGGGAACATTAACGAATGTTGCATGTGTCTCGCACGAGCGTGTGGACATGCAGATCCTTGTGGCTTAACTGGTGGACTTCTGCGTCATTCTGTCAGGTCGCTCAGGATGATGTATTCATGCAGCAAAGG